TCTCAAAATCTAATTAAAACAGCATAACTGAATAAAGGCATCATTCGATACTCGAGTATATTCGGTTGTCCTTCGTAATCCTGAATGAATAATAAGTTAAAATTAAGTCTAATTAATTAATTGCTCTACATATTTTCAAATAACTCAATTTCAATTTTCCTAGTGAATCATTCTCCTCTCAGTAATCCGAAATGTTTAGTCTACAAATTGATGGAGTGTCACTCATGACTTCGTTTTGCAAATTTTTTAAATACAAGACAGAATTCGTATAAAAAACGAATAGTTTCTTTCGTTTTAAGAGTACATTTGTCTTTCTTATTAGAGATTTTTTTCATATAATTTTTAAATATTTGTCTCACTTTTTAACATTTCGAGTCCATCCTGTTGTACTTCTGATCAAAGTTTCACCGGAAACTTCCTTAAATTACATATTCTTTTGTATTGTGCAAATGGTGATTCCCATCTATATGATACACAAAAAAATAGTCTTTCAATAGTAATTTGCTATTAGTAATTCATTGCTCTTATTTTTCCAAATTTTATCTGTTGCTTTTACATATATTAATAATCAGCTTTGGCCAAGCGAATTATTGATTTTCTGCATGAACGATACGATCGATTTTCTGCCAGAAATAAGCAGTGTAATTTTTTTTTCAATTATCATAAATTAAGTGGAAAACTTTCTCAGTAAGGAAATTATGTCCTTGTATTCAGCTAAAAAAAGTGTTTTGGAAAGAGTAGCGACGATTCGAAAAAATAACTTAGATTATGTATTTTTAAACGATTAATTTAAATTTCTACTGTAATTCGTTATTAAATTTAATATAAAAGATTAACATGCTGTTAACAGTATTCGGCACGGTAGTTTTTCATGTGCTTCAGCTGAATACACATGTCGTTTTTTTCAATATTAAATTTTAGTCCGTATCTTAGTTTTAGCACTATACAAATTAAAACATGTAGTTTTCAAGTCGTTTTGCTCTCTTCGCTCGAAAAAAGTTTTCCATTTATGTTTTTACACTCTGTCGCTGAGTTTAGCAAAAATATTTCAGAAACGAACGGCAATTTGAACGAATGAAAAACAATCGTGACAAAATCATCGAATACATTGCACGTAAGTAGCCTATTTCGAAAATGACTGACACTCAGTAAAATAGTATTTAAAATTTTTGAAACTTAATAAAGAAATCTTTTCGGTGATTGTTCTGTATCTTAATTTATGATGTGCAAAAATTGTCAATGAATCAATAAGGTGTTAGATAAGGATTTAAAAATTATATGAATATAAGAAACTTTAATTTCAAATCGATCATCATATGTCCGTAAGGAGCCGTCCATAAATTACGTAAAGTATTTTGGAAGGGGAGGTCAAGGATTTCATTCGATTTCTTACTCAGGGGTACGGGTGTAATAGATCTCGTCTTACGTAATATTCTTATGTTTATTTTATGATCTCGTTGAGTAGTAGCGTTTTGAATTTGGCTTCAATTTGGCGGTTTCTATTAAGAACGCTTGTTGTCTCGTGTGATGTGATAGAGTAATAACGCTAGTAGATTCACACTCTGCACATTTTTTGTCATGGGAGAAAGGCCGTGTGGAGATTTTTCTCTCTTATTTTTGACTAGAATAAGTGCACCACTCCTATGGGTGTATAACACTAAGAATACATAAACCAAAATACACGATAGAAAGAAACATAAAATTAGTATTCGGCTTTTAGTGAAAACTAAAATGTAAAACTAGAAATTATAAATTATAAATAGTCTTTTTTCATATTATTTTAACATAATTGTAAAAAGCATCAAACAGTGGTTTCTGAACAAGCTTATCGAGTGGACGTGGTCAACCGAAACCGAGCGTAAACATTTCTAATTTCAGAATAAATCTATATTGATCTTAAATTGGACAATGATAGATCATATGGTCGATGTTGTCTACGTTTTCTGTAGAGCAAAAGCGAGAAGCAGTTTCTGCCCGGTTATACATCGCCAGGTAGCTTTTAAAATTATGCTCAGTAAGAAGTTGAGCAGTAGCAAATGTTAAATCTCTAAGTAGTGACGAGAACCCGCATTCAACACTAGGAAAATAAAGTTTTGTTATTCTACCAGTTTTACTGCTCAACTACTTTTATTGATTTCACTTTTGTATAGCGTTGTCTTGAATATAATTTTTAAGGTTGCTACGTGAGAGAGGGATGCGAGTGTAGTCCAAATCAGTATCCTTTGCAGCTGATTAGCCTCAAAGTAGGCTTTTTCATTTCCTAGTATGCCAGTATAGCCAGGAACAAATATGAAACTTATCTTATTTACAAGATTTTTAATATGGGGCTNAAATGTATGTTTTTATAATCTTAAAGACTTACCTTTACTCGCCTTCAAAGGAATAATATGAAGTCTCATTAATATTTCTATTAACGTTGCCAATCCTACCCATGCAATAAACATGCCGAGAACAATTCTAAATTAAGGCAATTAATATTTTCACATTAATTTACTGAAATATAAATTCATATCATTTAATTAACAATAGCTTAAGTAACTTTTTTATTTCTGTGTGCATAATAACTTAAGAGCTATATTAAAATTGCATTATTTAGAAATGTGTTAGATACTTGCTTAATGAAGACTTTTCACTTGTGAAGCTTCAAACATTAGTTTAGTTTAGTTTATAGGTCGAGAGCTGTTGTGAGACTTCACTCGTATAGGAAAATAAGGAAAGTAGAAAAGGAGGGAGTAAAAAAATAAAAGTTTAAAGTTTGGCAGGACGAGGAAAAAAAAGATAATTGACCCGCATCCCAATGATAAAAAATAATTTATATACAAATATACAGTACAGAGTGCTATTTTGGCTGATGGACAGTTATATATACAGAGATCGCATTGTTGATCCATATAGAATAATATATCACAGTAAAATTTAATAGCAGGGTGCCTTGCGGCTTGGTGGCTTGTGATGATGTTGTTGACGTAGTAGTTCGTCGTTGACAGGTTGTTGCTTGGGGAGAGTAGGCCACACTTCTCGGAAAATGTGCAGAGTGGTTTCAAGCTCCGAATCGCTATCAAAATTTGTCTCACAGAAGTTCTAGATCTAAATCACCAAAAACCATTAAACAATTTCTATTTAAAGACACAATGATGGGGATAGACGAACATTTAAGTCTTATCGGTATCGGAATTTGGTGTCGAAGCGAACGTTGACATCTACCTTTCGGAAGTTATGAGCCTATACCGAATTTTCTTTGAAAACAACAACGAGTTGAGATGACTAACAAGAAAAACACGTGATAATAGTACAAATTGCATTTTAATATCACAATTCTTTCTTCAGCAGATATCTCTTCCACAATTCCTATTGAACTATTATCAAAATATTCTGCCTCTCGTACGTAAGTGTTTTCGAAGGTCTCATCGATTCATTACGTATCTCCCGTAACTCTTTCAACAGATTATTTCGTACGTGTGCCGCCTTCCCTCTTGGAACACTTCATCGATCCGTCGTGTCCAGAAATGTACTACTCAGGTTTTCCCGATGAACTTATATTCTAGAGAATGGTGAATCTTAGGATACAAAACGCCATTATCCGCTATAAATCGAAAAGCAGAGAAAAACTCGCTATTTGTTCGGCTCGAGACCCAGATGTTCGATGTTGACCATGCCATTGGACAAGCAGGAATACATCTTTCCTGTCGTCATCAAGTCACTCGTTGACCGCTGGATGTGGTTTGCATTGAACATCAAGAGTGAGACAATTAAGATTAAAGAGGACTGTACTTTTCTAAGTTAACTGTAAACCTGGAAGACCTATCGAAAAAACTTGTGAGACTCCAATCTCTCCTTATGTCTAATAAACGGATTATCGCATTCCAACTCCAACAGTTTCGGTGTCAATGAACACGTACATACTCACTATTGTACGTCTTTAGATATTTTTGTTAGTCAATAATAAAGAACGTTGATTCCAGATTGCTAGTTCCACAGCATAGTACTACCCAGTTAATGTTTTACTAGATGTTTATTTTTAAACATATTTTCTGTGCAATTTTCAAGCAATATTCTATTGTCAGTTGAGAGGAAGTTTACTTGCCTGTTGCATTTATTTTATCGAAAAAGTGTAACGAAAAATTCTGCTTCGAAGACATACAACTAACATTTAAAACGGTTCGAAATTTTCGTACGTATCAATATAACTTTTGATTTATTTCTATGTTTTATTTTTATACAGTCTTATACTTATACAATTCTTTGTCTTTCAGTAATATGAAAACCTAGAATGAATAAAACTCGAGTAAATCGCAAAAAAAATATCGAATAATTTTTCTGGTTTGAAACGTTTTTATTTTTCTTAGTTCCCGCAATTGACACCTTTTAATGTATTTACGACTATTCAACCAAACAAGAGATTCTTTGTTTATTAATGTTTATAAAATATTTTATTTAATTTCATATATTTTATAGCTTATGAACGTTAATGATTTTAATTCTTATTTTAAAGAATTAATCAATTCAAATTGTATATCTGTGTTCACTTTTCTGTAAAGTATAACACGCAATCACTGCTGTAGGCCTACATCGAAGACCGGAGGAAAACTCCCTATTATTTGTTTTTATTACTAAATATATTCTGCAATGGTTTTAATTAATTTGAATCTATTTTTGTAATTCTAAAAATTTGTATAGCGATTTAAAATTAATATTTATATATTTCAATAAAGTTGGATATTTTAATAATATTTATTTACTCTTTGTTTTAAATATGTTGTGTATATCTAACAATTGTAGAACCATTTATAATCAAATGTTGTGCCGAATTTGACAATAAGATTGATGATTACAGCCAAATACGTAGAAATGGTAAATAATCCTAGGAAATCTATTACAGCAATATTAGAACAGTTGTAATGCGATCAAAACTGTATAGTAACACTTATTTTAGAATTTTGTTTTATCTTCAACGATAATCTGTGTTGAACCCGTGTCGATAACAAATTCGTAAGAAATTCACGCTTTTTGGCATAGTTTAATCGAGAAATTTTACAAACGAGCATATTCGAATCTTTATTTCAGAAACAATTTCCAACTATTTGAGAATTAATTTTACACGAGTTTTTCAGTCGAAAAATCAATCGACTAATTGCAGCAACGGGAATATTTATCGCAAACACCGTCTAAGAGATTTTTACCTTCAATCTTTAGCAAGAAATAAAATATCATATGCAGAATAAACAAGAAAAATCCAATAATTTTACGAAAGAATTTCTCCAAAATACGAACATATTAATATGTTGCTCTGGCAAAAATTACTCTAATTTTTTCAATTTTGTTATGTGTAAAGTCTGATGTGGCAGTTGTTTCGTGACTTTTTCTAAGTATATTTTGTGGTGTCATACCAGACAGTTCCGAGTCAAGTAAAAAAAAATTCAATTGAAAGAACAGACAGTAAATTATCCAACGATTGAGTGAATGATAAAAAAGGGTTAAAGGTCTACCGATAACGGAATATTCGATTATAGTAAAAAGCAGAATACATAAAGCAGAAGAAAAAACGGTTAATAATTTAAACTGAAGTACTTAAAAAACATAAATCAAGATAAACGATGCGCATTCAAATAGAAAATAAATTTTTCTTTAATTTCATGTAATGTGCTTCAGAACAAAATAGATTCGATTTGCTATTTTCCTTGTTAAATTTATTTCTGTGGTAAAATTATTGATTAAAATAGTCTTTAATCAATTTATTATCGCGTTTTTCACAAAAAGTTTATTATCTATTTAAATTTTCTATTGCATCGTTAATTTGCCTTAAGTAATTTGAAGTCATTTTCATAATTTTCATGTTCTTAATTTAATATAAACAGTTTAATAAAGCTTTACATCAACTAAAGCAAAAAAAAAAATCGGCCCGGCAAGCAGGAGTTGCGGGTTCGAGTTCCGCTTCGGGCCAATTCTTTTCTTTCAATAATTCTAAAATTATTATTTAAATTTATTTAAATTATAATTATTAAATGTATAAAGAGGACATTAGAGTTAGGCTCTTAACTCTAATGTCAAGTTTTTTATTAAATTATTAGTATTATAGCCGTTTCTAGCCCGATCATTCGGCATTGGTTGATGTAAAGCTTTAAACGTATCGGGTGTAGCAATATACTTACAACGATATCAATTGTCCGTTAGTGTATTCAATGCGTTCATCTTTGATTTTGCAATATTCGACATTAAAGTCTACCGCTGTCCCGAATACTGAAAAATAAAATTCAGAAAGTAATTAAACATTTAAACAATTACATAAATTAATTTTCCAAAGTAACAGTTTAATTTACCGCTTATTTTATTTTTAATTTATCAAAAAATGAGGTTTAAATGCATTTTTTCTAAAATCAAATTTAACTAAAAGAAAAAAAGTTTTTTAAGTAAAAAAAAAGTCGATCTACAAATATGGTTTTTCCCTGCAGTGGGAGAAATTTAAATTGGAACTTTTTTCTTTAAACACATCTGAAACATTCTTTACAAATTATTAACAGAATCTGCCATTTATGGGCACTCCACGCATTACGGTTACTATTTCCTCATAAAAAATAGCATAAAAATAGTCTTATTTTTCTTTATCCGAACTATTTATGGTAAAGTGTTTACAGATTACTGAGAGGTAATTTTAAAAATTGTTTATACTGAATTACATATTTATATCGACGTTAGAATACATACTGTATATAAGTACTGTATTAAATTTACAAAGTTATTATGCTTTATTAGAGTGATTTTGCGTTGTTTCGGCTCTATATAATAGAGTGAATTAAGTTCCTACGTACAGTTGATTAAAACGTATTCGGGTTTACAAGAGAATTTCATATAATTACAAAATATCAAACGACTTACTCCAATTTCCAACGTGTTTTAAGTCTTTATTACTACATGTACTCGGAATGCACGCATCCAAACGTATTTTAATTATTGTATCGGCTAACTCTGTTTTCAATAAGTTTTCAAATTTTATTGGTTTCTAAAAAATTAATTAATTCGTTGTATAAATAAATTTAATTGACAAATTACACTAAACTGTATTAATCTATCGCAATTTTTTTCTTTAAACTTTAATACTTACAATAATCTCTTTTATAAGTTTAATCAATGAATTATTTTCGAACTTATGAATCGACTTTGCAATACGTTTCCCTAATTCTTGCATTCCAATTGTCAGGGCGCAGTATTTGCCTCGAACCTGTTCCTTTCCTTTATCGGTAATATCATTTTTATATTGAGGAATTTTTATGTCCAAACACTGGTCATAATCTCCCGACATCCATGGTGTTATTCCTAACATTCCTGCCGGTAATTTTCCAAAAGAATCAATCACTGGAAATAGTAAATGCATACAATTAATTAA